TTGAGTTTTTAGGGTTTCGTTTTGGAGTAATTTCAAGAATTATGAGCTTGTTTGTTATGGTTTATGGATATATGTTCCTATGTTATGGGTAACTCATATTGTTGTGAGTTTCTATATCTACTTATAAAATATATTATTCGTGTTTTCATGAATTATTTGCAATCTAGCACGACGATCAAGGTCAACTTTGTTAACAACAACTGAGAAGATAAAATTCTCACTTATAAGTACTAAATAAGTCCTACCCACATATGCACCAAATAAATTATCTGTTTTAGTTCTTATGAATTTTAGCCATCTTTGATAACCATTATTTGAAAATTATTTATTCTACGTACTTATGTTCAATTACTGTTCAAAATATTAATTTTTTTCCAAATAATGATGGTCAAATAGGTGCTTATATGCAATACTAATTAACTCGAGTGTTGAATATGCAGTACGGATTCTGGGTCACCTTGTTTGTGCTTACTCGTTTAACTTTCTCAAAATTATTTATCGAGACAATCGTTAATTGATGAATTTTAAGTGCTATATATCGTTCATTTCTAACAAATAATATAGTCAAGAAACATAATAAAATTTTTTAACATGGACACCATCCGATAAATTTAAAAATAAGAAGATAGAATGGATCGTTACAATCTTTAATTTCACGAGCCCGAACATCTTCATATTTGAATTCTCATTAATTTCTTGATTTCTCTCTATGATTTCTCCCAAAAGATAGATTTTGATTTGTTTTCTTTGATATCTAAGAAGTTTTTGTCCTCTCCTATTTCTTGATTTATGTTTATATAGCTTTCAAGATGCATTGAAAGCGTGCATAAGAAGTACCTCAAGTGGATTTAGATTTGAAGATTAAGCCCCCATTTGATGGCAATTATTTAAAAAAAAATGAATTTTTGAATAATTATTTTTTTTAAGAATGTGTGATTAAAAAGTAAGGAAATTTTTTTAGAGTTACGTGTAAAATATCTTATTGTGTATTTGAAAATGGGTGAGAATTAAAGAATTATGAATTGTAAAACACAGGCCAAAATTCAATTTTCGAACTGAATTGGGCCTTTCCTGTGGTTGCAGAATGTATTCCTTGACAAGTCGTGGCAAAATGGTGAAATTCGTGCTCCGATGGTCTGACTTCAAACAACATAACTTTTGATCCACAACTCCGAATTACAATCTATTTTTGTTGGACTTCAAATTTAATTATCTTTCAATGTTATACTATTTGCTTTGGGAAGATCTTTGTACAAAATTTTATGTACTAATTTCTTCACATGCTCCACATGTAGGTTCCTCGTTTTGCATCTTTTGGTCATTTTATGTCCACACTTCCTTCATTCTGCATCAATCATTTTTAAATTGACGATTTAATCTATTTACATAATATATACGCTAATATGAGTAAACAGATCAAATAATCAAATAGTAAGTCCATGTTTGGTAGAGATTAAGCCCCTGTTTGATTCACATTAAAATTCTCATTCTCATTCTTCTACTCATTTTCAACCACACATTCTTCAATAAAATAATATTTTTCATTATATCAATAACTTTTCCTTCTTTTTCAACTATACATTTTTCATTATCTACTATTCCAAAATATATTCTTCCAAAATAATATGGCTCAAATACATCCTAAAATTAAGATTTTATGGGCACCAGTATGACAGCTCTTGTATCCTGACCTGTTGAGGCACATCCCGCGTAGATGTGTCAAGAAGGACGGGCCTGCCAGACCCGTGAAAACATGCCCGAATCGACCCGGGACCGCGGTCGACCCGTGACCCGATCGGGTTTTGCAGGTTGTACCTTCAAGGGCCGTGGTTAACCCGCTGGCCCGTGAAATTTTTTTTTTTTTTTTAAATTTTGAAAAGGGGGGCGGGGAGACTTAAGTAGGTGCTAACCTAATTGGGATGTATTTAAATTATAAATTATAATAAAAGTAGGTGCCAACCTCGTTGTGATGTACTTATACTATAAATATTTGATAATAGTAATTAGAAATGCATTTAGTTATTATTTGTTTAAATTAAATTTAAGTTTTTAAAGTTATAAATAATTCATGTAACATTAAATTTGAATTCTATGTAAACATTTTTTAGTATAAATATGAATTTATCATTTTATTCAATTCATAGTTTACATTTAACAATTTTTTTTTTTTTGGCTATAAAAGTTGGCGGGCCGACCCGACCCGACCGGACCACCTGATTGACACCCCTAATCCCACGATTTACCTCCTCCACAATGCTCTAAGGGCGGGGCGGTGGGGGACCCTCAAAGTTGGGGTTCAACTTTTTATTTTTTAAATTAAGATTTTAATTTAAATCAAAGCCCGACATCTGACAAGTTAACGACATTGACATCAGTTGGAAATTATTGTGCCCATAATGCGGGTAGATGATATTGGAATTGTTCTCAACAAAACATGTTATTATGATATCCCCAATGAACATGTCTTCCTCATTAATTTCAACTACCGACACTATGAAAGTGTGAGGGTTGATCGGATGTGGATCCTTTATCTAACGATTTTTTTTATTATTATTAAGGCGGTTTTCGCCATCGCCCATCGTGTTATGCTGTCAATTTCTTACTTCCTTTCGTTGCCTGATAGCAATTGAATAAAGAAAAAGAGTAGATTAATTAGATTAAAAAGGAAAAAGAAAAAGAAAAAGAGGAAAAGAAAATGTTAAAGCTAATATTAACTAAAGTAATAATCAAAAGTACCAATCCCAAAGCCAAGTTTATCACGCGTGTGAACATATCATTGAAAAGTAATAAAGTAATGAGTAGAGTATTGTTCTAAGAAAATTAAATATTGAATAATGGAGAAACCAAAGTATAAAATCAATTAAAATAAATAGTTAGGAGTTCCCATTTTACTAATTAAATATACTCATATTCAATTCATATCTTCGTTCAATTATATTATGTCGATAGTTATTAAATTTAATATAAAACATTAACATTTATCTCTCTACTTTCAATAGTTTGATAAAAGTGATTCATAAGAACGTATGACAATCGTATGAATATGTAGAAATATCTCAAATTAATAATAAATTTAGGAAAAGCAAAATTGGGTGTTCTAACATACAATCCCTTGATTTACAAATATCAAGTAATTTAATTCTAATTAACAAGCATGAAAATGAATCAATCGTGCCAATTCAACATATTTATATAAACTAAAACACAAATTATTAAATAAAAATAAAAGCATAAGTTAATTAGTTATATCGTTTGTCCTAACAAATAATCTAGTCAAGAAACATGAAGATAAATTTAAGCACAAGAAGATAGAAAATTCCACGAGCCCGACATATTCATGCTTGAATTCCCATTAATCTCTTAACTTTTCCCTGTGATTTGCTTCCAAAAGATGGACTTGATGTGTTTTCTTTAATCTTTTAAGACGTATTTTTCTCCCCTCTTTCTTGATCTATATATAGCTCACAAGATGCCTTGGGTTTGAAGATTATAACTTAACTTCCGAACTAAATCGGGCCTCATCTGCGGTTGCAGAATGCATATCGTGACAAACAACGAAAGTTTTGCATCTTCTGATGCACTAATTTTCTTACACGCTCTGCATGTACGTTTCTCGTTTTGAACTTCCTTCTTTTCACATAAATAATCTTCAAATTGGTGGTTTAACCTATAAACAAATATACACACTAATATGGATATAAAATAGTTTCAAATAATCAACTTTTAAATAAGAGCTTATATAAACGTGCAAAACACACCCTTGCATGTGATTTTTATGATGCAACTACCAATTTAAAAATTAAAAATTCGAAAGTTGTTGGATAAAAATCCGTCATAGCGTGTCATAAGAAATTATTAAGACGATCTAATAAGTTTTTGTTTGAAATTAGAGTGTGTCTGGGAGAGCAGTTTAAGACCAAAAAATTGATTTTCCAACAGTTAGAAATGAAAAATTGCAGCCATTGTTGACTTTGGCTCTCACATGTGGGACCCATGTGTGGAAAAAAAAGGTCCATTTTTTGCTTAAAATTTGCTGAATAGCTCTACCAGACAGCCCCTTAATTTTTTCCTCTACTCATTTTCAATCACATGTCATCCAAATAAAAGTCAATTTTCACATTTACCTAAAACATTTTTTTCTATTTTAACAGCATATATATTTTTTTAAAAAAAATAAAATAATAATAAATAAATAAGTAACTTTTTCCCAAAATCACTTCTCAAGAATCGATTTCACGCAAGGACTAAGTGTCACCGCATTGTGATCATCAATTAAGGTTTGTGATCAAAATAATTTTTGATTGTGACCTCAATTAATACATGTAAGCTGCAATCATAATATGTTTGACTCATGTTTGTAAACTTTTAACGCTAACCATATTTTATTCACTTTTTCAGAGATTCACAAGTACTATTCATTTATCCAACACTTTCAAGCATTTAAATGTCAAAATATGTTGAGGCGTTCAAAGGTTAAAAGAATAGTCACACTGCACAAGACTATAGAGGACAAAACTTGTGCAAACTCATGTAAACGAAATTGCAAAAACTCATGGGCTCGACATAGCCTGGCCCCTTATAAACGAGCAGTACGCTAATGTAATTCAGAGACATGCAAGAAATGTACCTAACGATTGCGAGTATTTTCCGACAACAATAATTAGATTAAATCTTGACAAGAAACAGTAACAATGACAAATAAATGATATTACATAAGAACTCCTCAATGTGCACTGTTTAAAAGCTTAATATGCTACACGCTTTCTGCTACAGATCACATATTATGATGCTCCAATTGCATCTTCAGATATTCAGCAGCTGTCTTTGTCCTTGTACACATTCTCTATGATAGCCATAACACAAAACTACACTTACAACAGTTAAAAATAACAAAAAATTCCCTATAAACCTACATTTTTTCATAGATGATGAAAAACTTGCGGAGTAAAATTACACTGGCTCCCTCTTCAAGATATGAAAACATCTTCACTTGGACACATCTACACAAGCGAGAGCTTCTTCTTTTCAAGGCAAGTAAGGATCTTTTTCCCATACAGATTGCTTTGGATGGATGGAATATAAGCTCGGATTACATTCAGCAGAGCATCACGAACACGCCCCTGCTCATGCACAATACAGAAGTGCAGATTAACAAGAATTAGAGCTCGGCCATTTTTTTGGTCCAAATAATCAACATGCACTGAAACGTTAGCAGCAGTTATAGGCCGAGGCTTCATACTGGAAAAATTTAATAGAAGATCAATATATGCAAATGATGGCTTCCTATAAACAGACAATTCCACCTCGTAAGGTCCCGTATTTAGTTAAGGTCTCAAAATATCATTCATTCCCTTTAAAAAAAATATTATTTTAGTATTTTTGGGAAGGCCCCTCAGAATTTTTGCTCAAGCACTTCAAATAGCTTGAACAGCTTCCGCTTATAGGGTCAATATGCCATCACATGTAATGGTGGGTATAGTCCTTGAGGTAGACCAACAAGTATGATATTCAAGGATTGCAAAGAAAAACTCAAATACAAAATACTTGAACATGATCACATTACAGCTCTGCTCGTGTGAATTACAATGAGAGCAATAAAGCATTCCACAATATTAGGTTCACTTCAGTATATTTATTTTTTTAATCTAGTGAAATTTGAACTGTAATATTTTGACAAATTGTTTTTTAAATCCAAGAAAACATTCAAAGGCCTTGATGTAGTTCTGTTAATTATGGAGGGTCACAATTTCTGTACATATCAATTCATCCAAATAATTGGTCTCAGTAAATAAGACAGTATACGTATAGATGTCTTGTCATTTATAACCTATGCATGTTTAGCACATCGAAAGAAAAGACTTTTAAGACTTGAGAATTTGGTTTCCTATGCTCTGAATAATCTTACCTTGGCTTCTGACAGTGCTGACTGAATAACAAAGTTTCCGAAAGGATCCACAAGAAGCATACAGAAATTTGGACTCGTAATCAGCTCAATGATGATTCTTCTGGAATGTTTTTCTCCTGAAGTTTCCAAAAATTTTTCCACAACATTACTCGCATACTTATTGAAGGAGAGAGACACGAAATTCCCTTCAAACTGTCTCACAAGATCAGTCGTGACTTCAGGAATTTTCATTCCAAGCAGGTGTTGCACCACATAGTTCCTAAAACAATTAAAATATAATAAAATCAGATGTGTGTTCATATTGATACCAATGACATGGATGGAACACATAGGATATGCTTGCAGATTTACCCATAAGGATCCTCGGCTAGATGCAATGCATTAGCTACTATATTACGTATTATCCATACTCTCAGTTCCCCATAACAGCGTTCCACACATGATTGCATCACACAACACCCACTTTTGTTGGTTGCAATTACAAAGCAGTTGTTTCCTATTTCATTGAGAAGAATCTGCCAATTGGAATCCAATGTTAGATAGCTGACTGAACTGGAAAACAGAACTTACGTCAAAACTTAATGATTTCAGGTACAGCGAACTTTAAACAGCCACAGGATCCTAAGGAAGCCAAAAAGGAAAAGATCCTCGGTAACTTTGCTTACACCTACTTAATATATAAGAAAAGCTAAATTTCTATTTAGCTGCATTATTTCCAGCAAATATATCTGGACTTTTTTCATCAAAGGTTCTAGAATAATATATTTAGCAGCTAAATTTCTTTTCTCGTTGATGCTCCTAGTACGAGTCTCGAGAACTTAAAATGTACAATGTACGGGCATCACCTTGACCATAGCACATTTCTCTATCCAATATGCACGATGAAGATCTATAGACAATTATCTCAGATATGTATATGATAATGACAAAAAATGAATGAAAGAATTTACTTCTTAGCAAATAAATCCATAAAGGAACAGTACAAGCAAAGAAATAGGTAAGCATGAAGCTCATATCATCTGAGAATTATATATAGGCATCTAGACAATCAGGTATTCCTGGGCATCCAATTTATTTGCTTATTGGCAAAAAAGCTCAATCAAGATTGCTATGCCAATATATAATGTGAAGGATAATGTAGCATTTCAGTCTCCTAATGCCAGGACATTATCCCAGCATCACAAGTCCCAATATGACAATTCCTACAGTTGTCCTTACAATTTAATCAAGCAACTAATCATATCAGTATAGGATTATTTTCCACCAGAATGTTTTTGTTATAAACCAAAATAAACAAGGGAAAAATTTGTATTGGAGCAAAAGTGATCCCCACCAATCAAATACTAAACAGAACGTCCAATTGAACTGAAAACGTTCTCCTAATAGGATAGTGGCAGTAAATAATACAAATTGACTCGATATCAACACATCAAAAGCAAATTACGTATTACTGGAAAATGTAAGTTACACAAAAAAGTAAAATTTCTTTTCCTAAGAAAGGGACCACGAGCTTCACGGAAATTATATAATTAAAATTAAGAAATGAACCCGTGATGATAAGGAAATACATGACAAAGAGCAGCCATGTTTAACAAGCTGCTCTGGAGTTGCCAAGAAACATCAGACCAACTACAAATTAATCAAAACATATAATCAAAATCGGCAAAAGAGATGCTGACATGCTATAGAGTCACTAACACTTTTTCTTGATAATAAAAAAATTCATCGGTATACAGGGCTACGAAGATTTGTAGCCAGTTCATTATAAGCACAATCAGCAAAAGAGATGCTTACATGCTTTACAATCCCTAACACTTTTTCTTCGATTCTTGTATAATGTAATTCAATAAGAAAAAAATTCATCAGTGTACAGGGCTACGAAGATTTGCAGCCAGTTCATTTCAAAGTAGAACTGCTATTTGGTTCCCCACTTCTCCTCATTATTTCACGTATGTGATTAGCACTCCTAGATAATATAATCCCTTATTTAAACCAAAATAGAATAAACCAATAGAGACATAACAACTTATTTTAATCCTTTGGTTAGTAATATTAAACATGTAGACAAACAAGATAATATTTGTTTATTACCTTATTATATTCAGTAGTAAAATGTTTAACGCAGTGTTGTATAACAAGATGACCACTGGGATCGTTAGCCAAGGAAACAACACCTAGGCTTCAAGCGGACACTATGAGTGATATTTGTTGTGGTGTATCCAGCTTCTCCAACAGTTTTTGCATAGTTGTTGCCCTGAATATCACAGAACACAATAAAAAATATATATATTAAAGCTTTGACAACAAATAAAAACATAAATCTGTATAAAATTTTAAAGTCAATTTATTCATACCCAAATGAATGAAGACAAATATTAATGAATTTAAATGGATTTGTAGTTAATGTGAAAATAATCCTAGTCCTCTGTTCCACATTGCACACCATGAAAAGCTTCTGCAAAAATTGACTTCCAAATTGATTTGCTATCACATCACTCAAGAATTCCAACACCTCTGATAAAACCATCTCAAGGCTAGGCAGTGTCAACCCCTCTTCCAATTTGGACATCAAAATCACACTCCACATTGGATCTTTTGCCAATGACACTATTCTTCCCCTCCAGCTTTCAATACTCAACTGTTGGTACAAGTGCAGATTACGACACAAACTGGGCCCGGAACTGGAATTCTTGAAATTGTTATTTGTAGACAGAAAATTTGGACATTGGGGGTTGGTTCCTGAAAAGGTTTTCTTGCCATGCAAGATAGAATACTCATGATTATTACTGAAAGTATCACAAACAACATTTCCTTGATATTTCATCGATCTCAGAGGATCACCTCCAACTCCATCAAGATATCTGCTTTTACCAAAACCCATAATCTCCGGTCCCACGTTGATATTCGGTTGGATTTCCAAACTGAAAGGCCCATTGACACCACCATCATTATTTTGAGCCTGACCCCGAAATAAAGCCTGCTGCAACTCCCCAATGTTCTCTTGCTTTTCACCAAAACCCACTGAAAAGCGGTCTGATTTTGTGGCTTCCAAGCCATCAAGCCTGAGAGGAAGATTAATGGACGAAGACGTTTCATGTTGGGATTGAAAATCTTGGGAAAGGATTAGTCTGGAAAAGGCTGACTCAATTGCTTGATCAGAGGTTTGAAAGTTTACATTTAAAGGGAATTGTTGATGGGTTTCTCGGGAAAAAGAGTGCTCACCGCGGTGGTTCTGTTGATTTTTCGGCCACCGAGATGCCGGAAAATTGGGGTTTTGAGAATGTCTTTGCTCCATGCCGTTACAAAGAATAATGTCCCTCTCTGTTTTTACTGTACATCAAAGGGGTTTTTGGTGTGAGGGGTTTTATTTATAGGGCGGGTTATACATAAGGCATTTTATTGGTTTATTTAGGGCTGAATTGTAGAATGGAGATGAGAATTTAAAAGCGAGTAAACTTCTAGCGTCTTTCACTGAAAGATAAGCGTAATCGTCCAGAAATTTAAAATGGGTAAATTCTGGGAATGTTTCGAAAAATGACAAATGTCATCGTCAATCACAACTGAATGACCTGTACAATTAATACGCGTAATCGTTGTACTTGTTATACTAGCTGATGAGATTACAATTTAATGAATACCGTTTCCACGCAATGTTTATTGAAAGATGGGGTCAAGTTTTGAAAATATAGATATTTACGGAAAAAGAGAGTGAGAAGTGGAGAGAAAATTGAAGTGCAAGTCTTGAGAGGAAGATAGAGTGAAAGAGTACATGCAAAATGTGGAATGTCTTTCATGGACGAAGGCTCGCATTGATATACGAGAAGTGGGGTTTAGCCTTCTTAATAAAGCAAATTCCTTCTTTTCTAATTCTACTTCTATGCACTATATTTATTGAAGAAAATGTGTATTTTTTCAATTTTCTCTTTACCTTTTCATTTCTTTTTTTTTTTTCTTTTTGGTTGGTGGTGAGGAGAGCACAAATGTTTATGAATTTTACATTTGAATAGGGGGTAGATAAATTTACGCAACGCTGAATTGGACGGATTGTTTTGATGTGATTAGTACATAATGAGATTCTCCTTCAAAAATGTAACCAAGATCACGATTTAATCTAGTTTTTGACATTTCAATGATTTCATAAAAAAAAAAAAAAATTGAACCAAAGGATTTATTCAAAAATTACTTAGTAAAATTGTAATGTAACAATACCACAAAATCAATGAGATAAACATAGCAATGGTAAGTGTTTGCCAAAACTTAAATACTAGTCATATATATTTTTTTATTAATACATTTCATAGTACCTACAATTTATATGCATTTGTTATTTACGCATTTCGTATTATTCACATCTTATAAACATTGTTCTAAAAAACTTAAAGCGTGACTAGAAGTGGAGATCAAACTTCAATTCACCTTTACGAGTCTAGGTGAGGACTGGGCATAAACAAATGTTTTCTTATTTTTAATATTATTTTAAATTTTTAATCAATCTAAAATTTATTTAATAATTAAAATAATACATATCAAACATTTAAAATTATAAACTATAGTATTCACTTAATAATTCTTACAATGAATTAATTATACAATTTTCGAGTTTTGAAATGCAAAAAACTAGACTATTTTTCATAATTTCAATTTTTAACTAGATAAAATCTACTTAATAGATTTATAGGAATTTTATACATATTTTTGAAGTTTCCAACATAACAATAAGTTTTAAAATCATAATTACAAATGTAGTTAGCACCGTAACTTAAATTTTATCTAACTCTTTATTGAACTCCACTTCAATATCATCATCTTCATTTAATTCGTCATATTTGTCATTTGATATAAAATTATTTTAAAAAAATTAAAACAAAAGTCAAATGAAAGGTTTTTTAAAAAGAAAAAATGAAAAAAAAAAATTAATAAAGAGTGTCCAGTTGTGTATTTAGAGGTCAACTTGACAATTGATCGTTTAATTTTGCGCTTACCGCCTAGGTGTGAAGTTTCATCTACCTCGTGCTTAGGCGCCTCTTAGACATGTTTTTAAAAATAGTGCTAGTCACATATTTCGCATGATCCACAACTAGTATTCATTTATCTATCACTTTATTTTATCAGTTTATAATTTAATGCAAACAAGCCCTAGCACACATTTTTTGAAAGAGGAGGTTTTGTACTAGTGGATTTTTGGAGAAATGTATGACTGAAAAATAGGAAAAAAATTGGATTAACATGTAAAATTATTTTATTAAATGAATGCGTGATTGAAAATAAATTTGAAGAAAATTGAGTTCTTATGTAATGGGTTCACACATGGACTAAATAGTATATTATAAAAAAAAGAACTGAAATAATTTATATAAAAAAAGTAATGTTATTCATGGGCAATGAATATTATAGACAATCTATGTAACGGTCCACATGTATCCAATATCCTACTTATGATTTAGTAGACTCAACCATGATTCAACTCGATTAAAGAAGAAACATTATCTTCTGGTAAAAATATGTCAATGGTATGTTGCTACTCATTCAAATACTTCACTTAAGAAATATTTTAGCTTTATAATTGCAATTACTCAAATATTCCAATTAAGTATTATAGTTTAAGAATATTATACACATATTTTTTATTTTTAATTATCAAGTTAGTTATTCAGATAAAAAAATAAGCATTGAAAATTAAATTTAGTAAAAAAAAAAAGAAGAAAGAAACTAAAAGAGGGAATAATAGTAAAAATGAAACTCAACACAAGACACGTTTTGTCATTGGAGTTTGTGATCTCCGAAAAGTAAGATAAGGAAATATAGTAAAAATTAAGGACATTCTCTTTACTGTTTTCAAGCCATTTTTAGTTTTCAATTTTCGAAAACATTGAAAATACGTTTACTTACCTATTTTCATAAACGAATTTTCAAAAACGAGTTTAAAATTTACAAAGAAAACAGAAAACGTCAAAAAAGTCGTTGTGCCTGTTTTCAGTTAAAACCACCAAACCTTCATTTTTTTTTTTTTCAATTTTGAAAATAATTTTTCAAAATGGCAAAAAGAACGCGTTTTCAGCAATCTCAAAATGGACACTTAAAACACAAAATTCAAAATGAATTCAAAATTCAAAACTAAAAATTAAAACACGAAGAGAACAACATGTAAGCCCTTGATTAAAATACAATTAAAATTTTAAGTCATCTTGTTGAAAAGTTGCGAATTTCATGAAATATGTGATTAAAATTAATTGTAAACTTTAGTATAGATTAAAATTTAGATTTTAATTCAGACCAAACAGAGGCTGAATATGACTAAATGATCAAGTATCGTCATTTAAGTAGATAGACTAACATGTAAGCATATAAGATCGATCTATCGAAGATTTTCTCCAAACCAATGTCGCCAACAATAACGCACCATTCTCTCTCTCTCTCTCTCTCTCGCGCGACCAAACTACATGTTAATTATCTTTTAATCTTTTTTCGCTTTTTCTTGATAATCTCAAGAGTAATACAATACATCAATAGTAGATATCAACACTGATTTAGATGATAGTGGACCACTTCGTTCATATTCTAATGAAGTTATAATGAGTTTAACAAAGAACAAGGAAGCCCATTGCTATATATACCTGAGTGCTTGGTATGACGAAAAGGAGTTGCCGCACACGCTATAAACGTACAACAAATTCTGGTCTAGAGGAGAAGCTATAATATTAGGAGAAAAGGGTTCAATTGATTTCTCGTCAGCACCGGCTGAGGCTAAAGTGCCTGTTCTTTCACTAGTGGCAGTTACTGCGGCGGAGGCGGCGTTTAGTACATCTTCTATGATTTCAGCGACGGCACCGATGGCTTAACCAGTGTGCCAACTCCTATTGTCCTGAGATAGCATGATGAGGGCAACTGTTGCTTCTTCTTCAATTTCCGTTGGTTCATAGTTTTTGTTGACCCTGAAAAATGAGCTCAACAAATGTCGGGCCCACTCTTGCCATGTCAGTATGGATCCGGTGCGTTTCTACCGGGACGAGAATGGTAGCCCAGCTGGAATGGACGCGGAAGACATTTTCCGACAAGAGACACAAATGTTCGGACTCCGACGGTTTGATTTCGACGGCACTTGTACTATTAACAAAAGCCCGATCGATTTTCCCAAACTAACTCTCTCTTTTGTAATGGAATATGTGGAATAATAGAAATGAGAATATGGATTGCTTGGTGTTGGAATCTCAATATATCTTTTCCATTCGTGTTTGTGACATGTATGTAGGACAAAGCATGTAAATCTTCTTCCGTTTCTCCTTTTTGTTCTACGAAAATGTTCTCTCTGTTTCTAAACGAAGAGAGGATATTCATACTAATCTGGCCGACGTGGTGACCGTTGGATCAGATCCACATGGCGACATCTCTTAGACCGAAGCCTCACATCACCGTCAACTCTTTACAATTAATGTTTGGCAGAAGGTCCGCCGTTCTAATTGTAGGTTGACACATTGACACGCTCTATTACAGACGTCACATCGATCCGTTTTAAAAGATCTCTAAATTTGTAATGAGAAGTAGCGTCGACTTCAATTTTGGATTAGGGTTAGCCTTTATTGAAGGGTTTCTGACGCTATAGGGTTTCGGACAGCTTAGAGGAACCTTTGATGAGCCTCAATAGCTGCATGAAAGGGGCTCGGAGAGAACTCTTGCTTGGCACTAAGGGACCTCTGAAATTAAAAAGACCTTGGACACCAGCTCATTTCTTCGACTTTGACTTAGAACGTCACATCTCCTGACTTTCCGCTAAGCGCTTGTGTAGCTATCCACGATGACCGCTGCTTACGTGGTCGTCTACGTGGCAATCTGACCTGGGACTTCGGATTTGAGGGGTAACAATAGTCCTCCAAGTCTATGCATGATTATTTATGTAATGCATGGACATTCAAATTTCATGTATTTCTTCAGCAAGGAAGGGAGCTATGACCTTTCTTGACCCTTCTATCAGCGTCTTCAGATACAGTTTACTCAATGGGGGATATATCATTCTCCTGAGGTACTTAACCCAGGTTACGTATACTAAGGTTCAGAGTTTTCTATCGAAAGTTGGCATGTCTAGCCGAAGTTCCTTCTCTGATCCGGAGTTCCATCTTTCATTTCAGAAGTTGGTAGGGTCTGATATGAGAGAGCGGCCTCATATTGGCTATTACGAGGAGTTTAGTATGTTTCCAAAAATTTTAGGAGACCCAAGACGTCCTTAATGATTTGATGTTGTATTCAATTTCCAAGAGAAGGCAATTATTTTGGTACAACTCTCAATACACACTACAGCTG